GTGGAGTCAGGGAGGGGCGAAAGTGAAAATGTCCGGTGCCAACCCCTATGCCCTGTCCTCCTCCTCCTCCTCCTCTTCTTCCTCCTCCCCGCCTTCCTCATCCTCATCCCCTTCCTCCCTCCGTCCCAGCTTGGATACAAATCGGGCTCGGGGCTCTGTGAGAATGCCGGCACATCGGGGGGGGCGCCGTGGGGTGAGAGGTAGGGGTGGAGACCAACGGTCGGGCAGGGACGGGAAGAGTAACATGCCCCACCGCCTGCGGGAATTGGAGGCGGAAGTGAGCAATGAGACGGGGTCCGTGCGTCGGGAGCGTTTGGTGTGCGAGACTTTGGCCCAGCTTTTGCGCGCGAAGGAGACCAACGAGGACTCAGAGGAAGGGGCCATGGTCCTGGAGTTGCAGAAGCAAAACGCGGCCATTCAGGCTTTGATATACAAAGTGCAAGCCATGAAGATTGGCTGCCGAGAAGCTGCGAAAAATGGGAGGGATCCCGCTGCGGTGTTGAAAATCACCGACGAAGTTTTGTCCACACTCAATTTGCCACCGCCTACCCTCCCCCCCAATGTGGTGCGTATCCCGTCGGTCGAGGGGAACAGGCGGGCTTGAAATGGAAACGGAAGGCGGGGGAGGGAGCACAGTCACATGCCTCATACTGTTATGGCCCAAGAGGACTCTAGACGGGAGGATGGTATCTGCTTTGGCAGGGTGTCTATGATGTGGGATGTGAATACATGGCTGCGGAAGGCAAAGCTATACAAATTTTGATTATGCGAGAGCTCGGAATCTCCGGCGGGTATCGCACCAAATGTGGCATGTATGATATGTGCCCGCATTCTATTTTCCTCGGAAGGGGAGGACTAGACACGTGTGTGGCCCTTGAGCAAATTTGTATCATCTGATTGAAATGTAGGAAGAGTTATCAAGAAGGATCTTAGCTTGAACTCATTAAGGTAATGGGGTCAAAGTATGGCTTCGATGCATGGTCAAAGGCATAAAAATCTGGTGCATTCGATTCTTTTACCAATCCCCCCGTTTTTACCCTCCTTGCACGTATGATTTTTATTTTCTTTCCATCTCGAATTTCTCCTTTACGCACTCTTGTTTCCAATCACATGGCAATGTGCTTGACCATGGGCTCTACATGTTGGCTCCCTCAGATTTTCCATCGAAAGCGAATGTGCCCTAGGGCAGGCGTACAGAGAATGCTGTGCCGGGAAGGATTCTAGGCGTTTGCTTTTAAATCGCTTCGCACGCTAGTCCCACCTTCCTCTCTCGCCTCGCACTCCATGAAGAGCCGATCGCCTCCAGTCGTGGTCGCCGGGACGATACCAACCCCTTGATTAATCGCTAATTTGGACACAAACATAGAATATCCTGTCCTCCTTTATACTAGCAGCGATCAATGCATTTCCCTTCTTCTCTTCCACCTCCAAAGCTAAGCTACCGCAAGCAGTCTTCCACCGAGAGTCCCTTGGAAGTCCGCCGCCCCGCGGGGGGAAGATGGGCAATCCAATCGTTATAGGCCTTGGGATCCTCCTTTAAGAGCGACACATTCTCTTCTTCCTCTCCGTCTTTCTCCGACTCTTCTTCGGAAGAAGATGGCATGTACGGTGCCACCTTAATCGTTTTCATCAGCTTTAAAATGGTCTTGCGCCGATTGGTTTTGTTTCCCCGTTCTCGAAAGACATGCTCTTCTTCATTTGGCTCTTCCTCCCTCTCCTTCGCTAGTGTGTTTGCACGCTCATTCTCCTGCGCCTTCGCACGCGTCAATTTTCCGTTTTCCTCAGGCACAAGCACTCTCGATACGGGGGAGGCCGCCTGTGTATCACGGCCTTGCTCGGCATCGTCCTTTCGGCGTTGGCGAAGTTGTCTCCCGTTGCCGGTTTTGCCAGTGCTGCCGCTATCCGTGTTTGGAGGAGTCCTCGTCTGGGCGTACGCCTGAGGTTGCGCCTTAACCAGGCCTTTTCTGGCCTTGAGGGCCGTCGAGCCCGTCCGCGTCCTGCCCGCCGGAGGAAGAGCGCTTGGGGTAGGGTGGGGGGGAGGTGTTCCTTTGGCTATGGACGGGGTCTTCACCGCGGTGGATGGAACGCTGGGCGACAGGACAGTCCCAACACAGGACGATCGGCTCGTTGGCGGCGTCAGATCCTTTTCACGCCCTTTAGTCTTGCCGGCTGGCGTTGCTTGTGAGGAAGCAAGTGCCAGAGCGGTCGGGGGCCTGGGAGCCCCCGCGGCCGCACCCGCCTTGCCTGCCTCCTTTCTCGACGGCAGACCCTTGTTCCGGCCCTTTCTGATCTCAGGCGTAGGCGGGCAGGGAAACAGGATCACGTTCTCCTTGGCGGCTGAGGGGGCCTCCACCTTTTTCCTTCCCGCTCTCCGGCGGGGTCTCCCGAAGGCCTTGGCCGTCCAGGGAGACTGACCGGGCCCGTTCGATTCGGAGATACTCAATGAAGATGCGTTGGTGGCTTGGCGTGCCGCTTGACGCTGCAACTTACCTTCCAGTAGGGCGTTTTGTGCAGCCGCAATGGAACCAAGGCTCTCCTTTTTGCATCCACTGCCCTGAGCCTCTGTTTCTTTGGAAGATCCTGACGATTGAACGCGCGTCTGACGCGTTTCACGGGAAGGTACCACTGCGAGATGGGTAATCGTTTCGTCGACTTCTTCCTCCTCTAATTCTTGAGGGGTCTGTCGGTGGGGAGGTCTAGGTGTAGGCTGTTGGACGGGCGTCCGAACCACGCTGGCCTTGGGGAGTGGGTGGTGACGAGAAACAGCGGGAGCACCAAGCTTCTTGGGCGTGGCCGCCGACGACGTGGACTTACTTGTCTGCGAATTTACTGTTTTACGCGCCTCTCTGGCATGGGTGGTGATACTTTGTGCGATGATTTCTTTGACGACCACTGGCGGCTCCTTAAAGTGGCGTTTTTGCGTCTTGGCCGCGACATGGTGCATCCCAGCAGCGCCATCCATGTGTGTGGTTTTGCTCGGCATGCCTGTGCCTTTCATTGTGTATCGTTGAGGAAAGAGTGTTGACAATTTGCATTGTGTTCGCGAAGGTGCACCGCCACAGCGGCGCGTAGGCCAAGTGTTGTGCAACGAACGAAGACTGGTTGCTCAGCCCGCCCGCGATATCGCAGGGAGACAAGTTGGACCTGACACATCGGAACACCTGTCCTCAATGAACGAATACGGCGCCATCGACACCCTTGCCGCTAACGACGTGTTGCGACTCATGATGAGCCACTTAGAGAAGCGTGGGTGTGGGGGGTGAATACTCACGATGGTATCGAGTTTGAATTTTGAACGTCAGCAGACGCGGGAAAAGCCAAATTCCCGAGCATGCTCTGGCCCAGGAATTAGCTGCAGTCACATGCCCTGGCGTAATAGAATCCCACGCCGGTAGATTATTGTTTGAAGTATGTTTCTGCGTGTAGCTCATCCGCCAGTTTTTTTCCAAAGCTCTTTTATGTCCACGGCAGGAGCTTGAACGACCCTTCCGAACAGCAACATGATGCCTTCACGCCTCAAGGTGATGATCACCGTGCTCCTGTTCGTCACCATAACCGTGACCTCCTCCGTTGCTGAAAGCGACCCGGCCCCTGCTCATGATCAAGTACGAAAGCATAAGCGGCATCGCCGTGGGTGGGTGCTGCTGGGACATGAGACGGCTGCGGAGGAATGGAGCCGGTTTAAGCGGTAAGAAACCTGAGGGGTCCATGGACAAATATCCATCTGCTTCTGCCCAAGCAGGCCTTAAAATGCTAAAATGTCGGTCGTGCTTACTTAAATTGCTGCCAGACCAGGAAGGGATCATCCGCCTTTACCCTCGTCCCTCGTAGCTTTTCTACATCTCTTGATCGCAAAACACTCACTTGCAGGGATGCTCATGACTGAAGAAGACGCTTTACGCTTCTCATGCCCTCACATTCGTACCAATTCGTTCCTGACAGATATTTCCGTAAAGTGTACCATTCGCCATCGGAAGAAGAGCACCGCTTCCATGTATTCGCCTCCTCTTTAGCCGAGGCCCGGGTCCGCAACGCGCAAAACGTGGCGGCCGGCGGGGAGCATGTCTTCGGTGTGACGCGTTTTTCGGATGAGACCCCCGAAGAGTTCAACAGACGGTACAAAGGGCGCAAAGGGCATGGCCGGGGAGTGGTGTCGGGGGCGGAGGTGCGGCGACCGCTCGCCTACACGTCGGCACTGATGGGAAGGGAAGGACAGGAGGGGGGGAGCGTGGAGGTATCGCGTCCCCCACAGGTGGATTGGGTGGCAGCGGGGGCAACGACCAGTATTGGAAACCAGGGTCAATGTGGGGTACGTGCTTCTGTTGGCAGTTGCCGCAAATTTGGCAAGTGGTGCCCTCATTTTTCTGCTGGTGGATTTCAGGCCAAATGCTTTCCCTTTTTCCTCACTCCCTCGCTCCCTCCCTCCCTCCCTCTCGCTTTCTTTGCCCTAACCAATTAATACTTTTCTTTTAAAATCCTCTGGATCCGGTCCTTGTTTTCGTGACATGCCCACCTTGCATGTGCGTTGCCGGCGTGCGCGGGAGAGACAGACTCCCCAGAGGGCGAAGTTAAACCGCACCCGTATCCCCCAGCTCTGCCATGCCCTCACTTCCCTCCCTCCCTCCCTCCCTCATTTTCTCCCTCCCTTGGCTCCATCCTTCGCCACAGTCCTGCTGGGCCTTCTCCGCCACTTCCCAGATCGAATCCGCCTTCATCTTGGCCGGGCACGCCCCCTGGCGCCTGTCGGTGCAGCAAGTCACCTCGTGCACCTCGGGAGGCTTCGGCTGCGGGGGCGGCGACACCATTCAAGCCTATGAACAGCTGTTGGGGATGGAGACCAAGACAGGCATGCCCATCCCCGGTTTGGTCGCGGCGGCCATGGCCCCCTACCAGCAGAGCATGTACCAGGAGTGCCTTTCCCCCCTCTGCACGGAACGGTGCCGGCTTCGGCAGATTGGTAATTTGAGCGTGGCCGCGGAGATGG